CCTGAAACGTCTAAGATTTATATATCAAAGGATCAGATCCTGACGGCAGCACCTGGACATACTCTGCTGATTTAGCCCTTGTTACCAGAATTAAATTTCAGTTAATAATAATACAATTTGTAAATTATGCTCCTTTGATCTTTGGAACAGTTTGTATACAACTTTCTTTACGCTGGCTACTTTTAAACTTCCTATGCTAACCAGAAGGGGCAGGGGGATGGTGGTCAGGGGGACCAGAACAAGGTAAAAGTTTAACACACACGAAAATACTGTGGGTTTTTGGAATCAGAGGACTTGCGTTTGAATCTTAGCTGCGTACTGTCTCTACGAGCTTGGCCAAGTTGTTGAAACTCTCTGGGCCTCCATTTCCTTACCTGTAAAGTGAGGAAGTTGAATTAAGCGTTCTCTGAGGTATCTTCTAGCTCTAAATTTTGACACTCTCTCCCTCCTTTTAATATTAATGGTGTTTACTGTCTCAGAGAATCTTAGAAAGGACCTCAGAAGCCAACTAGTTCAACCTGTACTTGAATAAGAAATCCCTTCGTAACGTCCCCAACAAGTCAACCTCCAGTCTTCAGTAAAAGACCTAAGGTCTTTAAATAAATGTAGCCAAGGTCAGAAGAAAAGCAGAAAATTTTGGGGAAAATTTAGAGATAGTTTCTTAGATGAAGGTCTCTATCTCAAATATATAAAGAACTTCATAGAATCTATGCGAGTCATTCACCAATTGATAAACGGTCAAAGGATATGAACAGGCAGTTTTCCATTGAAGAAATCAAAAAATCTATAGTCCAATGAGAAAATACTCTAAATCATTGATTAGAAAAATGCAAATTAAAGCAATCCTGAGATACCATTTCACATCTATTCAATTGCCTAAAATGATTAAAGGGGAAAGCAACAAATTTTGGAGGGGATGTGGAAAAATTGGGACACTAATTCATTGTTGATAGAACTGTGAACTGGTGACCATTTTGGAGGGCAATCTAGAATTATGCCCCAAGGGTTATAAAACTGTTTAAACCCTTTGATTCAGCAATATCACTACTGAATTTATTTCCAAAGATGATTAAGGAAAAAAGGAAAAGAACCTATATTTTCTAAAATGTTTATAGCAGCTCTCTTTGTGGTGGCAAAGAACTGGAAATTGCAGGGATGCCCATCAATTGGAGAACAGCTGAACAAGTTGTAGTATATGATTGTGATGGAATATAATTGTGCTATAAGAAATGATGAGCTCAGTGATTTTAGAAAACCATGGAAAGACTTGCAGGAAATAATAAAGAGCATCATGAGCAGAACCAAGAGAACACTGCATACAGTAAAAGCAATATTGTTTTAAGAACAACTTTGAGTGAATAAGTCTTTTTGACTATTACAAATACCCAAATTAACTACAAAGGACCTATGAAAGAAAACACTGTCTATATCCAGAGAAAGAGCTGATGAATAGAAGTATGTATAGAATGACTTTACATATGTATGTGTGTGTATATATATATGTATATACACATATATGTGTGTGTGTATATATATATATATATGTCTAATGGTAACCATCTCTAGGTGGGGGTGGGACGGAGAAGGGAAAAGGAAGAAAAAAATTGTTTTTGGTAAGGCAATTGGGGTTAAGTGACTTGCCTAGGGTCACACAGCTAGTAAGTGTCAAGTATTTGGTCTCAGGTCACATTTGAACTCAGGTCCTCCTGACTCCAGGGCCGATGTTCTATTCATTGTGCCACCTAGCTGCCCTGAAAAATAAATTTACGTAGTAGTTTTATTATATATTTAAAAGGAAAGCAAATTGTGCATAATAGATTTGTAGTTTCATGAGCAATCATTTTATTTTATTATACTATGTCATGGAAAGTTTGTTTTATTCCATAAATTAAAAATGAAATAAATAAAATTTAAAAAGATAAAGTTCTCTGAAGAAAAAAAAATGACCTTAGGTGAGAGGAAACCCACCATGGCAACCTATTCTACAGTCAGAGAATGCTAATTGTTAGGAAATTTTTCCCTTTATTGAACTAAATGTACCTCTCTGTAACTTCTACCCCTTTCTCCTAGCCCCGCTTTCTGTAGAGCTTCCTGTAGTCCAGCCTAATCCGTCTTCTATGTGATGTCTCAAGTACTTGAAGCTGTCATTTCTCTCCACCCACAGTCTTCTCTTTCTAGGCTAGACATCTCCAGTTCTTTCAATTTTCCCTCATATGGAGGCAAGGGAAGATCCTTTCTCATCCTGGTCACTTTCCTGTGGATAATCTCAAGCTTACCAATGTCCTTCTTAAAATGTAACTCCCAGAATGGAACCCAGCACTCCAGATTTGATCTAACTGGAGAGAGTGAAGTGGGACTACTACTGCTCTTACGCTGGATGCTCTGCCTTTCAATTCAGCCTTAATGGGTTTTCTTTCTTTCTTTTAATCTACAATGGCCTCTTAGGTCCCTTCCAGCTCTGTATCTAGGATTTTACCATTCTAATATAGCATTAGCTTTTTAAGCTACCATATCATATTTTTGAATCCTATTGAGCTTGAAATCCACTCATAACACTCAGATTTTTTTTCAGATGAGATATCCATGGGTAGAATTTTTCCATTTTTCTTTTAAAAATTTCCTCTTTAAATACAACCTGTTATTCTGGCTCATAGAGATGTTTTGTATCTTAATGGTCATCTGACATGCCAGCTGTGCCACTCAGCTTTGGGTCACCTGCAAATTTGTAAAAACTGCACGTATATGGGCAGCTAGGTGGTGCGGTGGATAGAGCATCGGCCCCGGAGTTAGGGGGACCTTGAGTTCAAATCCGGCCCCAGACACATAGCACTCACTAGCTGTGTGACCCTGGGCAAGTCACTTAACCCCATTGCCTAGCCAAAAACAAAACAAAACAAAAAACAATAACAAGAAAAAAACTGCATTTATACCTTTATCCTAATCACTGAAAAAATGCTAAATTGCACACCTGTATCATTCACTCTTAGCATCTGTCTTGTTACCTCGACTAGACTGTAAATTCTTTGAGGGCAGTGACTATATCTAATTAATATTTTTATCTCCCACAGCACCTGGAAGGTAGGAGGCATTCAATAAATACTTATTGAATGACTGATTTCACCTGAAGTCCTTTTTTGGGGGGCAGCGGGGGTCCATTTAGTGAAAATGCTTTTTCAAGTTCAAAAATGAACCAGAATGCAAATAACAAATGGAGTTGAGCAAACCTTGTGCCCTCAGGCATCACTTTCTCCACTTTCAGGAGACCAGAGGAAACTAATGATGGTAGTCCTTCCATAGCTATGAAGAGGCACCTGGGTGACATAATGGAACGCTGCACCTGGAGTTACAAAGACCTGACTGCTAATCCAATCTCAGACACCTAGTAGCTGTGGGACGCTGGGCAAGTCTCTTAACCTTTGTCTGCTTCAGTTTCCTCATTTATAAAATGGACATAATAATAGCACCTACCTCCCTGGGTGATTGTAAGGAAAAAATGAGTTCCTATTTGTAATGTGCTTTGCAGACCTTAAAGCACTATCTAAATGCTAGCTCTTAAGAGGTAACAAGATCATGTTTCAACATAATAAAGTATTCCTATGCATATTGATTGAACCCACATGAGAAACTAAGAATGTAAATTCTTTGAGAGCAGGAATTATTTTAGGGCAGCTAGATGGCACAGTGCATAGAGTGCCAGGCCTGGGGTCAGGAAGACTCATCTTCCTGAGTTCAAATCTGGCCTCAGACACTTACTAGCTATGTGACCCTGGGCAAGTCATGTAACCATGTTTGCCTCAGTTTCCTCATCTGTGCAATGAGCTGGAGAAGGAAATGGCAAACCATTCCAGTATCTTTGCCAAGAAAACCCCAAATGGGATCACAAAGAGTCAGACACAACTGAAAAATAACTGAACAACAACGGAATTATTTTATTTTTTTCTTTTTATCCTCAGCACATAACAATGCCTTGTACATATTAAAACATTCAATAAATATTAATTAAAATGGAAGTATGACGTTCTGTTTTTTGGGAGAAGATGGGAGTAAGGGTGGGAGATAAGGGAACCAGATGGGAGATGTGTGGTACTTACCTTGGTAATAGGATAAGGACTTAATTTGTGATTTCTGTGAACTTCTAAAAAACACAAGGAAACTCCTTTTACCAACACAAGTCAACATGTCCTCCCTAACTTACAGCCTTAGAAAGTTGCTTCGAGCACTGAGATGTTATAACCTGCCCAGAGTCTCACAGTAAGAACCAGGACTTGAATCCATCTTCTTGGTTCCAAGGTTAGCTCTCTATCCACCATGCTATGCTTCCTTGCTAATATTCTGACTCAAAATCAAAGTTGTCTGCTCTTTTGTGAATTGTCTTGACTTCTGGATTGACTAGACTATAAGGTCTGGAGGGCAGGTATCATGTACTCTATCAGAGCAGCATTGAGCACATAATATGGAGCCCGTGATATGACTCATAGGCTCTTCGATGTGGAAGAAGCTATGTACATGGTCTAGTTCTTATCCTTTTATTCACTGATGAAGAAACTGAGACCTGGACAGATGGTTAGTAAAATAGCTTGGTTTCAAACTCCTATCCATGGTCCCTCAGTGTTGTTGATTCCAGACCTAGAAGATTTTTTGTTGAAAGATGAAATTGCTTTAAATGTTGAGGAAGAGGCTAAATCAAGATGGATTCATAGAATTTCCAGGCAATTCCCTTCAGATTCTGTCTCAGAGCAGGGGATATCTTACAGGATTTCTTTCTCAACCACCATTGCCATCATAAAACATTATCAAGCCCTGGAGTTCTAATTTTATTAAGCCAGTAGATGGAGTAGACAGTCTCCTGTGATCTTCTGAAAGATAAAGTCTATGAATGCAGAGAACAAACAAGTGACTCATTTTAATGGATTCCTTTTCAGAGGAGGATAACCTGTAATTTCTCTTAGGTGTGTTTGATTGTCCCATTGTGGTGTGAATCACAGACTTGCCCAAGCCTCTAAACTTGAGGCTGCCCCACAATTCTCAGATTGTCTTTGGAAATCAGAAGGAGTATGCTAGGGCCACTGACACGACCTTTGGAGAATGGAGAGAATGGAGCACAGCCTTCCAAAGTGACAAACTGAGGGCAGAGCTGATTCAGACCTCCAGGATGGTTGAACAGGATGGTTGGGGGAATATGATAGGGAATTCAGGGCTGACCATCTTGCTGGGTGATCTGCTGGCCTGCTGACTCTCCTGGATGTTGTGAGTACTTGGTTTTTTGGCCATTTTTTTTTCCTTTTGAAAATATGGATCTCTCTTGAACCTGATGAATAATTAATGAATTGCCTGGGATATTAGAACATCCTTTGGAACACCTAGTTGTGCAGGCACCCTCCCTTCTATTACTTCAAGGTCAGGGTGGTACATTTTCTAAGGCTTTTTTTACACTTATTTTTCTTTCAAAAAAAATTTTTTTTCCAAACTCCAATTACTAGCTTTTGGAGTAAAAATTCAAAACACCTTGTCAGGGAGTTAGGCTTTCTATCATCCCCCATCTCCTTTTACTTGACAAATTGGACTAGTCAGTCACTGTTTACCTCTCTCTTTTTGGTCTGGAAGGGGAGACTGGTATCTTTTCTAGTTGAGAGTCATTTAATCATAGCACCATGGGACCATAAGATTATAGATTTAGAGCTGGAAGGGACCTCAAAAAAAGTAAGAAAGGAAACAAACATTTATTAAATGCATACTATGTGCCAGGCACTGTGCCAAATGCTTTTACAAATATTTCATTTGATCCTCATAACAACCCTAGAAAGTAGGTGCTCTTATCATCCCCATTTTACAGTTGAGGAAACTGAGACAGAAAGTGGTTAAGTGACTTGCCCAGGGTCCCATAGCCAGTAAGGCCATCTAGTACAACTTCCTCTTTTTACTTATGAGGAAACTGAGGTCAGGGAGTTTAAATGACTGGTCCAAAGTCACCTATGTAGTATGAAAGGTGGGATCTGAAACTAAGCTGTCTGAATTTTTCTAAATGCACTCCAGGGTTACTCTGAAAGTTGCAGTAGGGCTGATGGACGTGCTCACCTTGATTCAAAAGCAGAAACTCTATGCATCCTCCCTTCATCTTTCTCTACATTGCCCTGTCCCAGTCACTGTCATATCTCTTTCAATGGAATCTCTCATTGCTTTGGGTGGCAAATAGCTCACAATCTTTGGTGCCTATCCTCCTTGCTCAAGTTCTGAGATCAGACCTCTGAGCACTCCCAAAGACTGTGCCTCCTGTTTCATTGGCCTAAGCAAAGGGATTGGGGGGCAGCTAGGTGGCACAGTGGATAGAATACTGGGCCTGAAGTAAGGAAGGCTTATCTTCCTGAGTTCAAATGCAGCCTCAGACACTTACTAGCTGTGTGACCCTGGGCAAGTCACTTCATCCTGTTTGCCTCAGTTTCCTCATCTGTAAAATGAGCTGGAGAAGGAAATGGCAAACCATTCCAGTATCTTTGTCAAGAAAACCCCAAATGGGGTCACAGAGAATGAGATATGACTGAAAATCCACTGAACAACAACAAAAAAGAGATTAAAATTGTGTCTCCAATACTTACTACCTCTGTGACCTTTTCTGAATCACTCAACTTCCTTGAGCCTCGGTTTCCTCATCTGTTAGAATGAGGAGTTTTGATTAGATAGCATTTAAGATCCTTTTCAGGTCTAAATCTATGATCCTATGATCACCTTTGAGAATTGCTTTCAGTGCCTATGGTTCCCCAGTGATGGAAAGTCTTGCCCTTCTTTCAGAGTGGACTTGGTTTTGGCAAACATCATTCGAACCCAAGTCATGCGAGTAAGGCAGTGCAGTGAAGCAGAAACAGTCCTAGATTTGGTGCCAGAGGACCTGTGTTGGAGTTCCTGCTCTATGACTTAGAACCTTTGTTATTTTGGACAAGTCATTCAATTTCTCTGGGCCTCAGTTTCCTCCTCTAGAACATGAAAAGGTTGGACTAAATGACCTTTAAGGTCCTGTGAGTAATATTGGACTACTAGTTAATCCAAAAACAAGGAACGAAATATAAAATAATGAAATTAGTTTTCTTGTATGGCTTACAAAATGACTCTGAAGGTGATTCCCAAGGAGAAACTCCAGACAAGTTTTGAACAATTGGACTGAATGCACAAACTCCAAAGACTGGAATGAGACTACACCCATTTGGATGTGTAAATTCTGTTATATTAAAAAAAATCACTGTGTAATCCATTCATTTGTGCTTTTGTTCTTGCTCCCTCCCTCCCTCCATCCCTTCACTTCCCTTCCTTCCTTCCTCCCTTCGTTCCTTCTTTCCTTCCTTCCTTCCTTTCTTTCTTTCTTTTTTCTTTCTTCCTATTTTCTTTCTTTCTTTCTTCCTTCCTTTTTCTTTCTTTCTTTCTTTCTTTCTTTCTTTCTTTCTTTCTTTCTTT